CCCCAAAACCCCAAAACCCCAAAACCCCTCAATGGCATATAGTTAAGTAATGCAAAATTATCAAAATATATTTAAGTTTCTGATAAAATGATTCAGTTAGATGAATTAGTGGCTTTCCAAAATAAAAAAGACAACTCAGATCTCTAAAAGAAAAGCAGTATGGCAAATCATAAATTGAAAATCCTTAATAACCTACTGAAAAAATATACGAACATCAAAGTTGAAAATTAATGAAAAAACAAAGAAAATAGCAGTCAAACTAACACTAGGAATCACTATAGCCATATTATTTCTACTGATCTTAATACTCCCATAACAATGAAATCCTATAATATATCACCTAAAATTGATGTTAAGAAAAAAAATGATTTAAGAAATAAGAAACTTTTAAAATCTACTACAAAAAAGAGGAATCCTGATTAATCACCTTTAATAATAGAATAAACAACTACAAGCTTTATAAACTAAGCATAGGACAGCATAACTCCTTCTCTTTAGCAAAAAGAAAAAAGTAGCTTCAGATAAAGAAACCAAAATCAAAAGGTTAATTATCTTTAAATACTACAAGCTAACATATCATCTAGCAGATAGATAGAAAAGGATTCTAAAAGGTAAACGATAGCATAGAAGCAAAGAGAAGCTATTAAAGATCTTTTAGACATTAAAAGCTATTAGAACTATCAAATTAGTTCTGCAATAGGAATCATTGATAATGGAGTAGAGAGTAGAAATATAGTGAATTAATCGAATTACTTGCCATCTGAGAAAATCAATCATAATCTGTCAAATAATGGGTCTTTTTTGTAAAACAATCAGTAATTAGCTTAATCATCTGTTAACTATAACAACATCAAACTATAGCCTTTAAATCAATCTGAATAGTATTAGAGTTAAGTATAAATATTGACAGACTCTAACATAATAACGAATTCATCAAACAGAAGAGTTGTATTTAATAAAAAACATTTTCAAACATCGAGATAGACTTAGAATACGTCACCTATATCTAGTCTTGAAAATAATTACAATTTTAAGATAAAAAAATAAAATCGAAAAATTAAGTAATCTTAGCAAACAGCCACTTATAATAGTATTGCTTTAGAAAACAGAGAAATAGAGTTATAACAAAGAGTTTTTGAACTTAAAGAAACATTTAAGATTAGCTCTTTCAGATAAAATAATTTCTAAAGACTAAATAAAATATTTGAAAATTAGACTGCAAAAGATGATGGACCTCAAATTAGTAATTAAAATTTATAGAATGTTCTCGCTAAGACAAAAACTAACCTAAACAGCAGTAATATTTTTAAGCAAAGTTTCATTTTATCATCTAATTCTCGGAAGTTGCTTTGAGATTAATCATCAAAGTTAGTTAATGCAGATTTTAGCAATTATGTTTAACAAGATGCTAGCCCAATACAGAGTTCAGAAGTAAGAAATCAAATAAAGTTTTTAAGAAATAATTGCTAATAGTACATAGGTCGAAGTCAGTAAAGATAGAGAGATAAATTATAAAAATTAAATAAAGCAAGTAAGCTGCTTTAAAATTAATTGCTAAAACTAAATGATCCTAAGATGCTAGAATCTAGAGACAAGCTGATCCTTTAATTTATAGAGTAATAGGATAAAGAAGATTAGTAAGATTATTTTTAAAAAGATTTCTTGAGTGCTCGAGATTTGTTTTAAAATGAAAAGCTCTTGCAAAATCTTAAGCAAAGGATTAAGACAAATGATAAAAGTTGAAGTTATTAATAATAAACTCTGGCAAAAAATAAGGTATGCTAATTAAAGCATCTTGATTATGGTGATTTACTGAATTAATTTATGAAATTAAGGTTAATGATACTTTCTTTAAAATATCTCAAATGATCAAATTAATATAAGATCACTAATAGATTTATTTATCTAGACATATCAGTCAATTTTTTCTCATTTTATGGTTTTCTTTCTCAAGATACCTTTATTTAAGTTTGTCTGCTATTTAATTTCTCATTTAAGTATTTGTCTAACTTTAATAGTTAGTTTCACTTGATTTTTTAAGAATGCTTTAACTAGCGTAATTTTTACTGTTGAAGGTAAATTGTTGAGGTTGAGAGACAAAACTTCTAGGAGATATTACATCATTATAAGCATCATTAGATGCCACACTAGAATTTACATTTTTACCTTATGATCCATGAACGTTGGAGATACTTGAATTTTTCCTCAATCTCTAATCTGATTATAAATTGGCCTAAGAATTACTTTGTGTTATAATTTTCCTTAAGGTACTATCATTTCGTTAAAGAGGCTTATAGTCTCTATTTACCACGTTTTCAATTCCTAGTTTGTACATCTTATTTGGAGAAGTATTTTATAGCAATCTGTCTGGGGAGAACTTAGGATCTTATGTCTATCTTTAATTTCTATTTGATTTCATAGGGGAGTGAGTTTATCCTATTTGATTAAAGCTTGTTTGATTGTAATTATAGTGAACTTTGCCAATTGATTTTTTTCTTTAAGTGCTATTCTCTTACTTTTTAGCAGATTAATTACTCAGAACTATAGGGTCACTTTCATTATACTCAAAGAAAACCAAGTCTGGAGATTTCTATTAAAGATTTCTTTTAACTTGCCGAGTTGAAAAAAGACCAAACTAATTTTAAACTATCTATTAGTATTATAAATTCTTCTTTTTACTTTTAGAGTGAGATCTGCTAGGACTTCTTTATACCAAACTACTCTTGGTAGGAGAAATAATGATCTAAGAATTCTTTGGTGATTAAGATTTAAGATTATCGATTTCTCTTTTAATGTCAAATTATCTGACTGAATCACTCATCTTACTTAATCTTTCTTATTAAGTGGACTTGTATTTATCTTTGCTTTTTGATTGTGTTTAAATAGCTGGTTTTTCAAATTTTTAAAAAGTAACTTTGCTTGAACTTTTAATAAGTTTTTTATTTTAATTTGGCTCTTATAATTCTTAAGGAGCTTAAGTTTTAGTATTTGCAAAATGAGGACTTTGATCTGTAATAGTTTGGATGTAGTTCTGATATTATTTGTCTAAATTGTTCTATCTCATGATTTCATACTTCAAACTACTATCACTATCACACCCATATGAATTAGCAAATGTGTCTGAATGACATTACTTTTATTGTATATCAAGTTAAGAATCTTTTTAATATAATTAGGATTACCTATCAATAATCTTTAATACTTCACCATTTATTTTCATTAGATTCATCAATAGAAGACCATAATCCTTGGAAATCAGATTATCCTTAAGACTCATAATCTTATTTATTACTTTTTAAAAATCTTAAGGAAGGCATCTTGTTGTCTTTATTATTTCTGAATAATCATCCTATAATTTCTGATGATCCACATAGAATTATTCATCAATCCTTTATTTTTCTACCTATTGCTATCTTGCACTCTATATATTCTCTTTTTAGCTGGATTGCACATAATTTCTAAATTACTCACTTATTTTCTGGAGCTCTAATTGCAGATGATTATTTTGATAAGCTATACTTTCAAAATATTGCTTTTGATTTTGCATTTACTCTTAAGCTAGTTAAAGCGTGTCCTTCATTAGAAGTTACTATTTAAGTAGCTCGTAATCTTAATGCTTTTATTCCATTTACTTTGTCATTTCATTTATCAATTCCTATTGCTTTTAAATCATTAATTTAAATTCTTTAATCTAATCAGTGTAGTAGTTCTCATCCACTTTATTTGATTGCACTGGAAAATTTTTAAAGCTAGAGTTATCAATTTGATGTTTTAATAAATCAATTTGTTCCTAATATGACATCATTAAGACACTAAAAATATTTTTATTCTTACTTATTATGATTGATTATCTAATTATAGAACTTTTATCGAGTCTAGGCATAAGCTAAGGAATTCTTCGGTAGGTCCAATAGTTTAAAGTGCAGACTAAAATTTATTATTGAAGGTTTTGAAAATTTACTTTTATCAATGAATTTTGCTCCCTATATAAATCACTACTCTTAATCTTTATGATTAGCTCTCTTAGATCAGCTTATTTTTCTATCATCTCATCTTCTAGATTCTTGATAAGATCTTCCTTTGCTTCATCAGTATTATACAATTCTAAGTTATTCATTTGCTATTCATATTCCTAATTCTAAAATTGCTATTACTACCTGTTTTGAGAGTTTTACTTGCTATACTGGAACACTTAAATGTGATTACTATTATTAGACATTGATTATCTTTTTGAGTCTTCAGGTAGACCTAGAGTATTATTTTGATAAGAGTAATCATTGGAATCATAACTGTCTCTATGGATACTTCCAGATTTAATAACTGTAGGGTCTTGCCCAATCAATGGATTAGGGTCCTACCTTAATCTTTAAGAGCTATATCTCTGATGATTAAGTGAAGATTGAGTTGGTGGCTGCTCATCCTTTTGCTCCTCATTTAGCGTAAATTGATAATTGCTCATTAATTTATGACTGTTAAAATATTTGCGTAAAATTTAAATTTTATATTTTATCTTTTAGGACCGTTCTGATATATCTTAAGGGGTTTTGGGGTTTTGGGGTTTTGGGG